TAAGATTCTTACCAGATACAAGCATCATGCTCTTAATTAAAGCTTCCAGATTCTAGAGCCATGAGCCAAATAAATCTCTGTTCTCAGATACTAATAGCAATAAGAAACAGTCTAAGAGAGTCTGTTCCCTGAGGTTCTTCTCACCTGCAGGTATTTTGGTTTATCCTTTTACAGTGTCTTTATGAAAATATATTCAAATGTGTGTATATGTGGTGCCATGTATAAAATTGGCATCACTAACCAAGTTATACTATACCTATTTTCTTTATATCCATTTTTTAAAACTTTAACAATACCTTTTATAATCAGAAGCATGTTTGTAAGAGTAGTGTGGTAAATACATGTCATATCACTTTGCAAATATCTACCTGGCTGGTAAACTTATATTTCCATTCCCTCCTAAGCATTTTATATTTTGCCTCATGCTTGAAGTATTTGACTTCTACAGGAGGATAAATGCAAGCTTTATAGTATGGATTGAAAATATAAATACTTCTCTAGAAAACTTGGATCTGACACTCTTTACTATAACTAGCTTGTAAAATTGAAATGGGCCTTTATTACATAAACCATCTATTTTTCTCAAAAGGGGAAGGGAACCGTACTAGCTATTGAATTTAACTTTGACTTGCTTAAGAGAAACAACCAATAAGTTGGTTGGTTGGTTTGCATTTTGAGCTTTCCCAGACTTCACAGACTGCCTGTCCCCTGGAAGGTTTGGTATTTCTGAAGCTATGAACAAGAGCCAGGTGTCATTGGCCTCTGCTTCTTTATCTCCCTTATCCATAGTCTTCAAGTTACTCTTCTGTTTGTTATAAATATATGTTTTAGTTTCCTAAGCCTGCTTTAATAAATTACCCTAAAGTAGGTGGCTTAAAATAACAGGGATTTATTCTCTCTCTGTTATGAAGACCAGAAGTCCAAACTCAGCCAGTCTGCACTTTCTTCAGAAGTTTTAGAAGAGATTTCATTTTCTTCTTTCAGCTTTTTTTTTTGGGGGGGGTCTTTTTGATGCAAGGTCTCCCTGTAGCCCCAGCTGGCCTGGAACTAGCTATATAGATCAGGACAGCCTCAAACTCACAGAGACATGCCTGCCTCTGCCTCCCAAGTGCTGGGATTAAAGGTGTGCCCCACCATGCCTGGCTGCTACTTTCAGCTTTTGATGACTGTCAACATTTATTGATTTTTTTAAAATCATTGTATCATTCAGTCACTGCCTCTTTCTCTTCTCAAAATCTCCCTCTGCCTTTATTTCATAAGGACACTTAACACTGAATTTAGAGTCTGTCCAGACATTTCATAATCATCTCTTCATCTCTAGATCTTTAACTTAATAACGTCTGCAAAACCTGTTTCTCTAAATAAAGTAATATCTATAGATTCCAGAAATTAGGATGTGGGCATTCAACATTCAAACATGTGTCCAGGATACTTAGGAAACCATGTAGAACAAATTTGTTTTATTTTTATTTTTATGTGTATGAGTGTTTTGTCTGTGTGTATGTAAGTACAGCACATATTTGCAATGCCTATAGAGGCCAGAAGAAGGCGTTGGATCCCCTGAAACTGGAGTTACAGGTGGTTGTTAGTGGTCATGTGGGGGCTGGGAACCAAATCTGGGTCCTCCGCAAGAGCAGCCAATGCTCTTAACTTCTGAGCTATCTCTCCAGCCCCCATAGAACAAATTTTTATAAGCAGACATACAAACTATGAACACATTACTTATACTATGTGATCTTATGGTGTGACCTTTTTAAGCTCAGAGTGATTCTGTGATCAGTGATTTATTTTGTAAAATTACCTGGATTATAATAAAATATTGAAGAATATTGACATATTTAGCTCTCATAGTCCATTTCAGATCTAAGATAAGATTCACCACAGTACTGCCTTTTCCCAAAGATATTAGTTTAGGACAATTGTAAGCTGTCACTGTTACTTAACCACTGGTTCATTAAAGTGTCTCTAGTAATTTATAAAAATGAATTGGAGTCTTTAGCAAAATGGTGATTTGATGTCTCCTGCTAATCGCTCAGAACCCTGAAGTCTATGCAAAATATGCTAAATGGTTATGTCTATAATCCCCTCTTAACCACTTATACAAAATATTATGTAATAAATCACCAGTTTTTATTTCTGATAGACTTTGCTTTCTCCCTGTGCAGCATCCAATTAATTTTAATTGGCCAGGATTCTTATTAGGAAGATCATTTTGTTGGCACCTTTGTGTTTAAGGTAGACTTCTTTACTTTGCACTAGAAATCTTCCCTAAGTGAAATCAATAAGCATTTTCACAGTTGTCCCTACAAAGTAGGAAACGAAATGAGTTCTCATTCATTTAATTGGCACCTTTTGATTATATGATAGTTTGGTCCTTTACTTTGTAAAAATGATTTCAATTTAAACAGAACTTCACCTCCTGAGAATTAATTGTGCTTCCACTTTCATATTACACAGAACTTGGACAGACTTTCTCCTTTGAGAGACTTGATAAGCATTAAGGACTAAAAATAGCATCTCTTCTCTTGATCTTATAGAAATGTGGGCACATTTATCGTCATCCTGTAAGTGGTACAATTTTTTTTCATAGTAGAGATTGTAAAGCATAGACTAAAGTATGTATACTTTCATGTGAAAGTGTGTTCCTTAACTATTAACTGGGCTTTCATTACCAAAATCATTACCATGTTAACTTACGAACTCATGGTATAATTTTTTTTTCTGTTGCTGAAAAGACAGAATTGCAAAGCTAATAAGGCTACATAGCCATTTGAATCATGCTTCCAGGTTGGGGAGCACATTTAGCCCTTCAGGCACTCAGAGGCCCAATAAACCAGGAGATTATGCAAGTCCAGGCTGTAACTGTGTGCATTTATCATCATCCCTACCTCTATATTTGAACTTCTCATACATTTAGGGTTCCCTGGAAGAGATGGGGTTTGAACCCTCTTTAGGACTCTCTTGACTACCACATATACTTACCATTTTTAATCCTCCTCACCTTTGAAAAATTCACTAATAGTGAAAAACATTGATATACCAGATAGGTTAAAATTTTGAGTATAAAGATAATAGCAGAAAAAACAACAAATTTTCTGAAATTTTGTGTGTGTGTCTGTGTGTGTGCCTGTGTCTCTGTGTGTCTGTGTGTGTGTCTGTGTGTCTGTGTCTGTGTCTGTGTGAAGAATACACATCTGGGAACTGGACAGATTGCTCAGCGGTTAAGAACACTGGCTGTTCTTGCAGAAGACCCGGGTTTGAATCCCAGCACCCACATGGCAGCTAACAGCTGTCAGTAACTCCAGTTCCAGGGGATCCAACAGCCTTTTCTGTCCTCTGCGGGCATTGCATGACACGGGTGCACTTACCTACCTGCAGGCAATACACACATACACATAAAATAAATAAGTAAATATATATATATATATATATATAAGAATACACATCTGGTGGAGAAACATAGCTAATATAGCATAATGCATGTAATTATAAAATATGACATAATTGAAATATCAGTCATGGTAATTCATCCTTGTAATACCACCACTTAGACTGAGGCAGGAGGATTTCCATGAGTTGAAGGCCATCCTGGGCTACACGGTTTAACCCTGCCTTATAAAAAATAAACAACAAAGGGGGCATGAATATAGCTCAGTGGTAGAGCACTCAGTTATCTTGATATTACAGACAATAAACAATACACTTTCCCAAATGCCTAACATACATATCCAAAATAAGATCAAATATCGTCACAAAGCATCAGTAATTTCCATCAAGTAGGACTATGAATAACTATGACAATTTGAAGAGAAGTAGGGTATTTTTAATAGTGTCACAGTATCTAATCTAAGATATTTAATTACAAAGGGAAATATAGTAATTTAGTATTGAAAATCAGTAAGATACCACTTGTAGAAAATTAACATGCACTGCCTGAATTGAGTGATCAAGTTTAACATCATCAGTAAATAACACATTGACATCATATATCCCTGATATAATGGAATAAGGACACAGCATCATTCCTGTGGTAGTCTTGCAAAAAGCAAACCTATATAAACCTCAAAGCAATGGGAAAAATATCAGACAAATCCCAGTTGGAAGGACACATTACAAAATATTGTACAAGTGTCAGAATCATGAAAGACAAGGAAAGACTGAGAAGCTGTCACAGATTGGAGGATACCAGGAGATAGGACTATGCTGTAATATAGAATCCTGGATTGAACTCAAGAACAGAAAGTCACCAGGGAAAATTAGTGAAATTTGAGTCACTAGGTTAAGTAATAGTAGTATAGTTGTTAATTTTTGGTTTAAAAGCCAGTGTAACAGCTCACGCCTGTAATCCCAATACTTAAGAGACTGAGGAGGGAGGATTCCTGAAAGATTCAGGCCAGCCTGAGCTAGAATGAGACCTTGTCTCAAAATAAAAAAACAAAATATTCCTGGTTTTCTAAACCAGGTTTATTTACTCTGGTTATTTAAGATATATTAACAGTATTTGAAACGAAGTGAAGAGTATATATGGATTCTATACTATTTTGTGTAATGTTTCTGTGAGTGTACGATTATGTCTAAGTAAAACATTTTAAAGAATTGATGCCTAAATAATTTTTTAGTATTTTTATTTATTATTTTTATTTTTATGTGTATGAGTATATTACCTGAATGTATGTAAGTGCACCCATGTCATGCAGTGCCCATGGAGATCAGAAGAGGGTGTCAGGTCCCCTGAAACTGGAGTTACAGGTGGTTGTTAGCCACCATGTGGGTGCTGGGAATCGAGCCCTGGTGCCTAAATAATTTTATGTTATCAGTGGATATTTGTTGCTTATGTCAGATCTTTTCAAAAAGCTTACCTACCCATTTAGGAATCAGGAGATATCTGTCATATTATATATAGGTGGTAAGCAGGGGTGGTTCTTTTAAAAGGAGAATATTAAGTGGTATCAGTTTCACGGTGATGGTCTTTGAAAAGTATGTGGAATATATCTTCCCAGGTATTCCGAAAGGACCTCATCAGTGCTATGAAAATTCCAGACTCTCACCACGTTAATCCCGACAGCTACTATCTGTTTTCTGACACATGGAAAGAAGAATGGGAAAAGGGAGTCCAAGTACCAGCCAATCCAGACTCTATTCCAACACCTTCTCTCAGGTATTGGCATATTTACAACTCTGGCCTAGGGAATGAATGCTCTCTTAGTTATCTGTGTGCTTCTCGGGGAGAAACTTTGGAGTGGCTATATATTTCTAATATTCAGAGTTAGATATCATAGTGACCAATCACAAATTATACCAGGTCATAATTGTTCAATAATTTCTAGCTCATTTATGTAGGAGAGATCCCATTCATAAGATGAAACTATTTGAAATCCAATCTGAAATTGGATAAGGTTTTGGACACCAAGATTTCCATATCTCATTCAACCATCAGGAGCATTTGCTGGTCTTTGAAGAGATAACTTTCCCATAGGATATTGCTTCAGTATAAGAGGGGCCTCATGCTGATGGTACTGTAAATAGAGAGCCAAATATGTAGCTTATAAAAGGATACCAAGGTGAAATGGGACTAATAGAATAATTAAGTTGTCTCTAAGCACATGACCTTCATTTCAAAAACTTGTAAAGATCGTTGGACTAGAAGGGCTTTGGTTTTGTGGAAAGGAGAGAGTTTTTATTCCAGAGAAAGTAGTAAGTTAGGTTTCTCAAGAGTAATAGCTACTTTTAGAAACCATTTTGTCCTGCTTGTCTTGGTGTTTCCAGTGCGTTACACAAGGCCAGCATGAAGTAAAATATTCAGTATACCTTTGAGTAAATGAAGGAATGAGTATACAGAACATACAGATCCAGATAAAGTTGCTGGTGGAACCTTCTGATTACTATGAGAAATTATACATCTTACTGTACATCTGTTTCTACTACTTAATGGGTTCTTTTATTAAAGATAGAGTCTGAGTATTTAGCCTAAGCAGGCCTTGAGCTCACTATGTAGCCCAAAATAGCCTCAAACTCATTATCTTTCTGCCTCAGCCTTTTGAGGGGATTACAGGCATATGTCACCACACCCAGTATATGTTATGTTCTTAAAGGGCAAAGATAAGCATCCTTACATACTCACTCTTGGTACTAGGTTCATAGGTCCTATTTATGCTCTAGAAATGCTTATTGAATCTCCTTTAGAAATGTAGGCTCTGCTGGATGTGGTAGTGCATACCTTTAATCCCAGCACTGAGAGGTAGAGTCAGGCAGATCTCTGTGAGTTCAAGGCCAGCTTGGTCTACATAGTGAGTTCAGGCCAGCTGGGGCTACAGGGAGACCCTGTCTCAAAAAAAAGACAAAAAAAGAAGGAAATGTAGGCTCGGGACTCGAGAGATGGCTCAGCAGTTAAGAGCACTGATTGTTCTTGCAGAAGACCTGGGTTCAAATCCCAACACTCACATGGTGGCTAACAACCATCCATAACTCCAGTTCCAGAGGATCTGACACCCTCTTCTGTCCTCTATGGGCACTGCACGACACGGGTACACTTACATACATGCACGTAAAACACTCATACACATAAAATAAAAATAAATAAAATTTTTAAGAATGTAGGCTCAGACAGCCCACACGTTATTAAGGAAATTTTCAAAAGCCTTTTGTGTTCAACACGTGTCTCAAGCCTTACTTGCTTATTGTTGACATCTTCTCCTTCCTCCTAAATACCAGAATAGCATCATGAATGAAAAAATTTAAACATGTCTTTGCTGTCAGTATTTTTATAAAAATATAACAGTCCTGGTGCTGCATATTCTTTTAACATTCCAAGGATTATTGAAGCCCCTCAATTTTGTTCTTGATGCTGCATCGGTATCCGTTTTCTACCTGATGATTTCAGGTTTTGGGGTTAAGTGGAGAATGCCTCATGTACCACTTTAAAAATGATATCTGATTTTATATTAAGTTGATAAGTAGGACAACAAAATTAGGACAGTTTCATAAAAGTAAATTTAGAGACTAAGAACTAGTCTCCTCCTGTCACACTGAGAGACACATACTCCCTACTTACATCAGCCCTCAGTGCTCTAATATTTGTTCTGAGAATTTAGGATATTTACCATTTTATGTGCTATGATTTTTGCTAAATTTCTTACGTTTCCCATAGTCTTTTGCCTATCTTATAAAGCCTTTAATTTTAATCCATCAAAACAAACTACTAAATCATTGATCATATGAAATCTCAAAATGGTTGCTCTTGATAGAATGTGTTTTCTGTTTCTTAGATATTAATACTGCAGTACATATTTCCTTTGGAAAAGGCACCTAGAAAATTTCTTAAAAGAGAGTTAATAACTATATCCTCAGAGCTTTTGATTCCATGAATCTGAAGTGTACAGTCCAGTAGCATTCAGTTTCTGATGAGAGCTTTCTTCCTTTCTGTCACCTCTCATTATGACCTTTCATGATGAATTTTTCCTCTTCAATAAAGCCATCAGTCCTCTTGGATTGGAGCTTTATCCATATAACCTTATTTAACCTTAACTACATCCCCCATAGACCCTATATCCATACACAGTCACATTGGGGTTAGGATTTCAACATATGAAATTAGAGCATCGAATGAGCACAATTCAGTCCAAAACACCTAGTTGATTAGAATTTAGAATTCCTTTTGGTGTAATGCTTGGTATAATCTGCTAATGTTTTGTTAAGAATTTTTATGTCTATGTTTCCTAGCATGAGAAAAATACCATATTTCTTTTCTCATGATATTTTTATCTAGTGTTGTATTGTGGGGGTAATCCTGGCTTCATACAATTAGTTGGGGAGGTTTGTGTCTATGCATTCATGACTGAAGCAGTCCCATCACATCCAGAAGATATCTGTACAAGGCCTACACAAGATCAAGTTGGTCAGCATTCCAGCATGGAGGGAGGGGGGATTCATGAACCCCTGCCCCTAGCTGAGGAGCTACTGACAGTTGATGACTATTGGAGGAGAGAGTCAGTTTTCTTTTTTTGATCCTTTTAAGACAGGGTCTCCCCACAGCCACAGCTGGCCTGGATTCACTGTGTAGTCCAGGCTGGACTCGAACTCACACAGATCCCTCTGCGTCTGCCTCCCAAGTGCTGGGATTAAAGATGTGTGCCACCACGCCTGGCTGTGAGAGTCAATTTTCTTTAAGAATGTGGCTCCTATGCTTGTAAGAGCCATAAGTGGTAGATGGATATAAGGAAACCATCTTGTCTGGACACCACAGGTTAGTTTCACATATGAACATACAGTGCTTGTGACAGCATGCACAAGATCTGTTAAAGCCCAAGCCAGACAAAAACTCAGCATGGTTAGGGTAGGTGGGCATGAAACCTCAGCTGTAGCTGAGGATCTATTGGCAATTAATAACTGCTGGGAGAGGGTAAGTCAGTTTCTTTTAAGGGTGTGATGCCTAGTGGGCTGACTAGACTCCAAGGAATGGACCCATACCCAAGAGCATTTGGAGAACATAAATCAGACTTGATAGGCCTTTTAAAAAAGAAAAAAAATAATACTATAGGACATGAAGTCAGGGGAGGGGTATTGGAGTAGGGTTGGAGATGGGGAAGGCGGTCTAAATATAATCAAAAAATTGTATGAAATTACCAAAGAATCACTAAAAGTATTTTTAAAAAGGAATGTGGCACCTGGTAGGTCACCCATACTCCAGTGGAGGGACTACACCCAAGAGTATATCGTGTTTGTATTGAAGGCTATTAGGGAAATAAAAATGTGAACTGACAGTTGAAAATGTGCTCAAAATACACTGTATGCATGTATGAAATTCTCAAAAGAATTAATAAAAAGATTATATTAAAAATAAATTTTAAAGATAGTTGGGGAATAGTGTATCTTCTGATTTTTTCAGAAGAGATTATGTTAATTATTTTTTTAAGTTTTATTTTTATTTAATTATACAGGGGGTATGTGCAGGTGTCCATGGAAGCCAGAGGCACCAGATCCCCTGAAGTTGGAATTGCAGGTGGTTGTAAGCTGCCCCACTGATGGTGCTGGGAATTGAACTCGGGTCCTCTGGAACTGCTGATCCATCTTTCTAGCCCCAGTTCTTATTTAAATGTTTGATAGAATTCTCCAGTGAAGCACTCTGAAACTAGAAACTTCTCTGTTGGTAGTTTAACTATAAAGTTAATCTTTCAAAAGCTGGGTGTGGTGGCACACTTGGGAGGCAGAGGCAGGCGGATCTCTGCAAGTTCAAAGCCAGCCTGGTGTACATAGCAAGTGCCAGGCCAGCTGGAGCTACAGGGAGACCCTGTCTTCTAAAAGACCAAAAAAAAGTCAATCTTTCATAGTTATCTAGTTCATACTGAATGATTTTTTTTGTTGGTTGGTGCTTTAAGGGAGCAGTTTGCTTCATATAAGTTGTCAAATTTATGTGTTTGTATATATTCATAGTATTTTCTCTGTTGTTTTCATTTTTAAATTCAGCAGTCTTGGCCAGGTTTCCACTTCTACAAAATTTGAGATGTGTTTTTCGCTATGCCTTCCCTCCCACTAAATGTAGCTAGAAGCCCTGAACAGTTTGTATAACACATTCCTAAGTCTTCGAAAGGTCAGAAGAAGGCAGAAGATTTGGGGTCCTTGAAACCTATGGAATAACACAGCTATGTGTTCTGAGTTTTGTTTTTGCTCCCAGACTTGATACTGAAGAAGGTGGCAACTGCAGCAGGAACAACAACAGAACTGAACTGAGAAAAGCCAGCTTTTCCTAGTCAAATGACTGGGAAAGGAACAGCCTACCAAGACAGAAAGATTTTAGAAAATATCTGCTCATCTCCAGCCAAACACCATGAAAAAATATCTGGGGCCACCCTGTCCTCTACTCTAGAAAAGATGCAGTAAGGTGCTTAGACTTCCACCTTAACCCTGCAATGATGATAAACCCATGTAGGTCTGTATCAAGTGACTTCATGGAGAATCAGTAATTGTCATGATGAGGATTCCTTCTTCCCCAGTGGTTTCAGTCAAGGCCATTGAGGCATTCTTAACAATCTCAGGGAGGCCAGTATCAGTGAAGGCTTAGTAGGAGCCAGAACTCCCATCCTCACCCCAGCAGTCACAGGGAATCCCTGTTCTTGGATATTGACACAAGACAAATGGTGAACTAGGATTTCTATAATCACT